GCCTGGCTGCGGCAGCTGGCCGCCAGCTTCCTCTGCTGCGTTGTCTTGAGGCTGCAGGCTGTGGGGTCTGCTGCTTGCTGCGGGAGGCAGCAGCAGCAGCAGCAGCTGTCTCAGCAGCAGCTGCAGCAGCCGCAAAGTGAAAAAGGCCCAACTGCTTATGGCGGCGTGGCTGAAGTGGCATCTTGTAGGGGCAGCGTCAGTCGCTGCTGCGAGAGCCTTTGTTGCTGCTGCAGCAGGGGTCCCGCCACAGTTAGGCAGCGAGCTGGCAGCAGCAGCAGCAGCAGCACCAGCAAGGGCGTTGTGGATATTGAGCGCCCCCTGTGGGCCACGGGCTGCGAGCCGGTCTCCCTATACCTTCACTCTGCGCTGCTGCAGCTGCCCGTAGAAGGCCTTGGCTTGCTGCAGCAGCAGCCCTTATGCCGGGGCGTGCACCCAGGAGTTGCTGCTGCGCTGCTGCAGCTGCGTGCAGAACGCGTACAACAGCAGCAACAGCAGCAGCAGGGCACTCAAGCAGCAGCAGATGCAGCTTCAAGAGATGGGATACAGAGAGTTGAGTCAGCTCAAGACAGGCAGCAGGCAACGCCGCGACGCCAGCTACCTGCTGCTGCTGCTGGCTGCACCACAGTGGCAGCAGCAGCAGCAGCAGCAGCAGGAGTAGCAGCAGCAGGAGCAGCAGGAGCAGCAGGAGCAGCAGCCGCGACCCCCGATGTACGGACACCTAGCAGCTCTTGCCGCCTGGAGAGGCTTTCCTGCTCTTCTTGCCCGACACCGGCTTTGCTGCAGAGCAGCGCGCGAGCAGCAGCAGCTGCAGCAGCAGCAACAGGTCTTCCGCATCGCCGCGCTGCCGCTGCTGCCGCGACTGCAGGACTTGCAGCTTACTGCCACACGCAGCAGCAGCAGCAGCAGCGGCAAAAAGTGTCGCTCATGGATTTTAATCTTCAACTGCAGGACCCGCCCGCTGGCGACAGCAGCAGCAGCAGCAGCAGCAATAATGTGTCAGCGCTCTGTCCGCTGCTGTACTGCGACGTGCTACAGCGGTGGAA